AGAATTAAATACGTGGGAACTATAACAAGGGATAATTCTTTGATAACATTGTTTTAAAAATCTATTTTTTTTCTGTAGGACCTCAGCTGAGTGCACAACTAGAAGGTTGGCTCTCTCAAGTACAGTCTACGAAAAGACCTGCTAGAGCCATTATTGCACCGTAAGTTTTTTCCCCTCTCCCTCCCACTCACTGAAGTGGGGAATGCTCCAAAAACTGAAAGTTTTTAAGAAGAAACTGGACAGCCATTTGTCCGAAATGGTATAGGGCTTCCTGCCTGAGCAGGGGGTTGGACTAGATGACCTCCAAGGTCCTTTCCAACTTAATAATAATAATAATAATAATAATAATAATAATAATAATAATAATAATAATAATAATAAGGCTATCCAGTGATGATGAAGCTTTCAGAGACCGAGTGCCCAAACTGCAACCCAAAACTCACTAATGCATCATCGAGTGCCGGGTGGGTGTGGCCCATTGGGAGGGCGTGGCTGCGGTAGTAATGGCAGACTGGGTGGAACTAAAAAGTTCAATCAATCAATTCCAACTTTGCAAGATCTTTTTTTTCCCCCACAAGAAGTTGAAATTGACTGATTGAATTTATTTTTTTTTGTACACGGCGGCAGAGGCCTAAAGCGAAAAGGTTTTATAAAACCCAGCTGAAGGCCTAGGACTGGGGTGATGGCACGCGTGCTCACAGAGAGGGCTCTGAGTGCCGCCTCTGGCACCCGTGCCATAGGTTCGCCACCACTGGGCTATCCCAAGAATTCATATAAAGACATTAGAAAAGATACTACTCCCCTCAGATAACGAGAGAGAGAGCAAAATCTTCTTTATCTCAATTTGTATTGATTGGATAATAAGCTAGTCTTATCCCCTGACTTCTTGGTGGCAGTTTCTTACCATTTATTGAGGGTTGACTTTGAGTTACAAGAACAGGTACACTTTAATTGCTTTGGTTTCATTGTGACAATTGGCTCTGGCTTACTCTGAATTCAGTCTGGTAAGATATCAGTAGCAATTAGTTTATGGCTATGTGTGAGGGCAAGCTAGTTTGAATGGAAGACATAAGAATCAGTCTACCTCTGTCTTATTTTTAATTTCTTTTAGAATAGCTAACCATTTCATGAAACTAGGCATTTGGAAAGGGCAAATTAAATCTTTAATCTAAATTAAAGTATCTCCTACAGATGTCTAGCTTCAGTTTCTATCATATATTCAATGACAGACACTTTGGTAGTTCTTATTATTAAGAATCCTTTTCTTATGTTCATCCATATTCTTTTCTCAAAATGTTGTTTTTTGAGCCCAAATTACAGGAAATTAGACTTTATGAAAACCATTTACTGCTACTCAACTGAGAAGTGTTTAGAATACTTGAAATGTTAAGTCTTCTGAGTAATTTCTTGCCTACAATTTGAGAAAGCAGAATATTAATATCTTCAAATTACTTTAACCTTTAATTAAAATATACAGATGTAACTTTCTTTTTCTGTGCTCAGAATTAACAATCTTGATATGGCATACACACCAGGGTTGAGGATTTTTTCTTTCAACGAGTTTATATTTTTTCCAGTTAACTTTTCAGAATCTGTATACCTTTGGCATGACCAGACAGGCATTCCTTGTTTTTCCTGTCAGGAGGAACAAGGACAAACTCCAGGAACTCTTTTCAATATGTTTCAGTCAGCTTAAAACAGTAGCTCCCAAGTAGGCCTGATTTTACTTGCGAGTCCCTTTTTCTATAAAAGAATTACTTTTGAATGAATAATCATCACACTGGGTTGGGTCAGGAGGTCTTGGAGGCCAGATCTGATCATTACGTCATAGTTTTCTCACTGCTAGTACCCACCTTATTTTCTGCCACATAAGTAAGCTTTTCTCTTTAATTGTTAGTACTTAGCTTGGAGCACTCACCTGATACCTGTAGATTGGATATATCTGCTTATCAAACTCAGTTATATTTCTTTCATTGAGATTTTTCTACAGAGATTCAAAAAAAAACCCTCAAAGAAAGTGTCTTTTGTTTTTGGCAGACATGCAGGATACACTTACTGTGGGTCTTGTGCAGCTCATGCATACAAACAAGTGGATCCTTCAATTACGTAAGTAACATCCAAGAAGATTCTTGTCTTAAGTGCAACCAGATGCAGTTTGTATAGATGCTGGCTTAAGACAGCAAAAAATTATTTAGGGTGGATTTGTCAGGAGAGGAAATCTGTTTTTCAGAGTTACAAGCACAACCAACTAGATCCTGAGGTCATGTAAACCATGTAGGGAACCTGTAGCATTTTTTTAATTTTCTAAAACCTGATTTTTGTGGATGGGGAATCATCTTGAATTAAATGGAGGGCAGAACTGGAGGTTGCAATGGAAAAAAGAATCTGAAAGGTTTATTTTGTGTTCAGAAGAAACCTTTGTATTTTCAAAGACCAAATCTAAATCTGTCCCAATGCAGATTACTTTTTGCCTGGGATTGTGCTTGCCAAATTCTGCTATAAAACTCTTATGTGATCCAGATGCTATGTGATTCAATTTCCCACAATCAACCACATTGCAAGTATAACGTGGAAGTTAAACAAGAGAATCTATCAAAGATCAAATGATGTGATCATTTCCCTTTAGTCATGAAATGTGGTACTCATATATTTTTTCTTATTCATCTTCAGACGGCGAATCTTCATCCTTGGGCCTTCCCATCATGTGCCCCTCTCCAGATGTGCACTTTCCAGTGTGGACATATATAGAACTCCCCTATATGATTTGCGAATTGATCAGAAGGGTAACTGTACACAATTCATGCAATACACAAACAAAATAATTTCTTAGCAAATTTAGTGTTATTTTTTTGAGACTGTCTATTCTACATAGTTTATCTCTTAACTATTTGTATAAAAAGGCAGCTGTATTGATGTTGGATGTTTTGCAAAATGTTTTAATAATACTTATTGTTTCTTTTATGTATTGGCTCAGTTTGCATAGAATTTTAACAAACAAAGACTGAATTCATAGAGGGTGCTGAGGAAAAAAACAAACCATGTTAAAACTTATTGGTGACTATCTTAGATATATTTACATATAAGTATAATTTAATATTAACCATAGTGCATGCCATATACAACACAATTTACTACAACCTGCAGTTGTTTATTGATTGTATTCCCTTGCAGCTACTTCTCTATATCTTTGGTAACTGGCAGCTGTCAGTTACAAGATTTTATATTTTAAACAAAAATGCAGGAGCATATCGGTGATTTAGTCAATCATAGACCATCCATGTTTGGAATGAGCAAAGTCTTATCCTTCCATCAGTTCATTTAAAATAAGAACCCTGCATGGAATGATTAAATAAACCAGAGCAATGGAGATAATGTCAATGGAAGCGATTCTGCTTTGTTGCTACTTTTGTTTTTTGTCTCAGTTACTACATTGATTGACGATACTTAATTACACCAAATTAATGTGAAGTGGAAAAAGTAAAAATTATTATTCATAGCCACATGAAAACTATGTGCTGGGTTCAGTCGATTCACTAAGCTAATCAACAAAATGACAAGTAAATATGCTTCTTTTAAAAGTATATTTCTCTAAACGTTAATCACATTTTTCAGTTAGGAGACCTGCATTAAGCTGTTAGTTTAAATGACAATGTGAAAAACTCATCCATTTGGGAACAGGGCATTCTAAAGCATTGCAAAACATCCTGTTCCCACTCCAGATCATTCCAAATATCCTCCTTGACCATGTCATTCCAGGGGTGGTTGGTAGTTTCCAGGATATTATAAAGACTCTGGCCTAGAAGCTGATTGAAGTGATCCAGATGAAATGCTTATTAGGAATGCTATGTTTGGGATACCTAGAACTACTTCTGGTTCGTAAAATTTACTTCTAGAAATTGTTGAACCACCCCTTAAATGACATTTCCCAAATTGATTAATTTCATGCATATCTAGCTCTGACTAATGTTCTCAGTCTCACAACTACAAAGGAACTAGAAAGAAACAATGAAAAAAGTTTTCAGATTCTAAAAAAAATTACCAGCTATGTATGAAAAATGTCCCTTACTATAATTTATTTTATAAACGTTAAAAGCTGTTAAATGTGCCATTACTCCACAGTTGTATTTTTATTTTATACAGTTAAAATCTTTTTCTCAAACTTATGTATGAGCAAATGCAAATCAAAGTAGGATATCTCCATATGTATTTCCCTGCTTTTTATGTGTAAACCTTCCCCTCAACAAAATACCAATTTTAATGTGTGTTTGTTTGGAGTGCCCTATTTCATTTATAGGCTAAGTGTATTCCTGTTGTGAGTCAGAGGTGGGGAACTTTTACCAGAACCATTGTGAATAACATTCTTACTACAAGCTGTGATTCCTGTGATAATTAGGAATCATAAGTCTAACACATGAAGCAGAAAAGAGAAGTTTTTTATGCAGTTGTTTATCCATTTGTTCTTTAATATATTAATATATTTAAAACTTTTCAGTTTATGCAGATTTGTGGAAGACTGGAATGTTTGAGCGTATGTCTTTGCAAACAGATGAAGATGAGCACAGTATTGAAATGCACTTGCCTTACACTGCTAAAGCCATGGAAAGGTATTTGGATTATTTAAAACTGCAGATATTAAATTAGATGTATTTTGGAATAATAATAAACCCATTTTCTCAGTTATTTCACTAACGTTGAATACGTCTGTGGCTTCAAAATCCTTAGGGCTTTGATGTGCCAAACCAATTAAAATCAGAGGACTGTGAACTGAAACTTTTAGACACGTGGAGAGTCTATGTTAAAAGGGTAGAAAAGCGTAGGATTGAGCAAAATAGAATTTCCAGGAAGAGAAGACATGGGAACTTCTATCCTTTTAATAATGAAAATATATGCATTTTTAATTAAAGTGAGATCAAAAGGTTTGAAATCTGTAAATATTCTGCTCCTGACCTCTACTTAGCCCATTTATGTATTCTTTATTGAAAAGTTTTATAAAAGTTACAATATAAACCCCAAAACCCACCCACCGATTTGGGGGGAGAGGGAGGGGGTGAAGGGTCTCGACTTATGTCCCAATGTTTATATTATTAGTATTAGATTGATTGTAATTGGTTGATATATTTATTGGTTCAGGTATTACGCGAAATTGAGGGGAAATTGTATTTATATTATTAAATAATTAAAACATAAACAAATTAGTATCCTAATTATTAAACAATAGAATATTTTTAAACAATACTAATACTAAAAATAATAATAATATCACATAATTAAATTATTATTATTATTATTACCATTTATGTATTATTACCATTTATGTATTCTTTGAAATAATTTGGAATGATTGGCAAGAATAAAGGTCATAAACTATCCAAGTTGCATAGTTCAGCCCTGGGGTCTCTTTATCTTTTTAGACTAACAGGCAGATATGAAATGTTGAGAATCATGGCTACTTTCACAAAATGACTGTCATGAAATAGTGGCTAGTCATAGACTACTCATTTAATTTTTAATTTATCATGGGTCATCAAGTTATTGTCAGCATAGATAATATTCTCCAGAATGATCTGTGTCCAACATTTGAAACTGGCCTATTATTTTTGTTTTGTTTTATTTATGTAAAATGCTTATATAGTCAACCATCTTATAATCCTCTGGATGGCTTCCAATCAGAGATTAAAACAGCATATAAAATCTTATTAAAAATATACAACTAAACAGACTAAAACAATAAGGATCTGGCACAAGGTCAGCCTTCTAATGTGCAATTATCAAGTCTTATCCCAGTGTTTGGGGCAGGGGGGAAGCCAGGTCTTCCAATATTTATGGAATACTAGGAGGGTAGAGGCCTGCCAAACATCAGGGGCAGAGTGTTCCATAGGGTAGGGACTGCTACAGAAAAGACCCACTTCCTAATTCAGGAATGGCAATATTTAGGAGAAGGGACTAGGAGCATGCCCACCTCATCTGACCTGCTGTCCTCAGGGAAACCAAGTCCTGCACATAACCTGGCCCTGTGCCATATAGGTCTTTAAAGATGATGACCAACACCTTGAATTGCACCCATAAAGAAAATGGAAGCCAGTGCGGTTTGCACAACAAAAATGTTACATGGACAAGCCTAGGGTCCCCCATATACGTATGTGCTGTTGCATTCTGAACTAGTTGAAGTTTCTGGGTGATGATTGGGTATCAGTAGCATACTGATGATATTAAACTCCATACCAACTGATGACGTCCCCTAGCAGTTTCATGCAGATGTGAGAAAGGAATAGCAAGAGGCTTGAGCCCTGGGGCATCATACATTGCAAGTCTAGGGCTCGACTTCTACTAAACACCTGGACTGAAAATTTATGGAAGGTAAATTGGTAATGCTACTCATTGCTGCATACTATGTCCCTTGGATGTTTTCTGATTTCTCCTGCAGCTTGCCTTTTTTTCCTGGCAGTTGGGCATTCTTTCTAGCAAACTTATTAATTTGCAACTACCAATCCCATTTTATTTTCTAATAATATATCTTGGATCTTTGTGTGGTTGAGGTTGAGGTTGGTGCTTTGTTTTGCACGGATTAACTTACATTTTTCCAAATTAAAAGAATTAGTGACCTAAAACCAGGTGTCCCATGAAGAGAAATATTGCCAGGCACCTTGACATCTGTGACTATCATATATGGGATCCCGGCAGAAATTAAAAATCTAAATGTTCTTTGTCATATGTGCCAAATTCTATTCATCGTCAGGAATGGTCAGACTTTTGCAATGACCTCACCAGGCCCTACAGAATTCTTTGAGGGCTGGACAAATGAATGAAGCTTATAGGTGAGAATTATACATATCATAATTATATGTCCCCTGTGCCTAATATGATCACATATGTTCATGTGCAGTGCTATGTTATAATGAAGTTTCCTATGTCTTCGTTAAGATAAAATTTCATACACAATTGATAATATGAGTACATAGTAAATATGCAGAAAAGAATCTGGCTTGCTCATACATAACCTGTGCTTTTGTATATTTCAAACTTAAATCATGTTTTGAATTGCCTGTGAGGTACATAAATTTTTAAAAATTGGGAAATAG